TTTATTTATTTATTTTTAAAGATTTTAGTTATTCATTTGAGACAGAGAGACAGAGAGAGCACAAGCAGGGGGAGAGGCAGAGGGAGAGGGAGAAGCAGACTCCCCGCTGAGCTGGGAGCTGGACGTGGGGCTCGATCCCAGGACCTGGATCTCATGACCTGAACCGAAGGCAGACGCTTAACCATCTGAGCCACCCAGGCACCCCTATCCTTCAATGTAAAAAAATGGAAAGCAGAGGAAGAACTAGAAATACATGAAAATGACCTAACAAGTGTACAGGAACGAGCAAGATCACAGACTCCAAGGGTCATGAATTCATTCATTCAGCAAATATGTACTGAGCCCCCACTCTGTGGCAGGTTCCATTCTTGGTGTTAGGAATATAGCACCCAACAAAACGATGGACATGACTGCCCAGAAGAGCGATCAGAGACTGGTGGGGGTTTACACAGCAACTGAAACTAGAGAAAGAGAATGACGGAGCGGCCGTTTTATATTGGTTGGTCAGGCGAGGCCTCTTTAAGAGGGCAACATTAAATTGATGTCTGAAGGGCAAGAAAGCACTAGAAGCGGGAAGGTGCTGTAGGGTATGGGGGCGATGATCTAGACAGAGGGACGAATCAGTGCCCAAGGCTGCAAGGAAGGGTTCTCAAGAATATGGAAAGTTTGCCCCCCAGGGAACATTTGGCCATGTCTAGACTTTTTGGTAGTCACAACATGGTGGTAGAGAACAATGCTACTGGCATCTAATGGTTAGAGGCCAGGGATGCAAATAAACATCCTACGGTTTGCACAGGACAAACCTTTATGCAGAGAATTATCCAAAAAGTCAATGGTGCCGAGGCTGAGAAACCCTGCCCTGAGGCCATCACAGGCTTGGCACCTTCAAGGTGTAGAAAGCAGGACACCACTCCCGGAGAACAGAAGAGAGGAAGTAGGTGGAAGCAGATGGTATGCGCCCTTGTGTGCCATGGCAAGAAGCTGCCATCTTGTTCTAGGTATGGCAAGGAGCCCATGTTCTAAAAATGGGCAGTAAACATGGACTAATTTATTTGTGGAAACAATGACCCTGGCTCTTATGTGGAATGTGGTGGGAGGGGCCAATGTGAGGAAAAAGAGCTGCTGGGTGGTTTGACAGAAGGAGGAGGTGGTGGCTTGGAGGTGGGTCCTGACAGTAGAGACAGAGTAGCAGAGGGCTGAGATTTATTTTACAGGGAGAACTTACAGGTCCTGGTGACAAAGTGAATTCAGAGGGTGAGGGAAACAGGAATCAATGATTCATCGAAGGTGGGGCCAGCTACATGGGCGCATGACGAGTGCAAGAGCTGTCCCCACCTCGGGCTGGCAGTGACCTCAGTGGAGGGCTCTCTGCCACCCTGCATCCAGGGGACTGAGCACATCCCTGCAGGCTGCCAGCTAGCCCCTGCAGGTGGCTCATCCACTGCGGGATGGGGCAACAGACCGGGGGAAAGAAGGAACGGACTTCCCTGCCCGGCTGGGGCACTGAGTCTGGCAAATTAGGAAGCTGGCCCTGCTTGAAGGTTTCCAGCTTGAGCAACTAGATGCTTCATTACTGCCATTTACCAAAATGGGGAAGAGTAGGAGGTGGGGTAAAAGGTTCCATCTGGGACTTGTTTAATCTCAAGATGCCTGTGAGACATCTCACTGACAAGACTGAGTAGGCAATTGTGTGTATCTTTCTACAGCTCAGAAAAGACCTAACGTTGTAGGCATAGAGCTCGAATTTGTCAGCCTGTGGTATATGAAACACGAGAATGATGGTGCGGCTGCTATGAAAAACAGTATGGAGGTCTCTCCGAAAAATTAAACACAGACTTACCCCATGATTCAGCAATTCCATTTCTGGGTATACACCCAAGAGAAGTGAAAGTAGGAACTCACACAGATATTTGTACACCTGTGTACACAGCAGTATTATTCACAGCAGCCAAAAGGTAGAAACAACCCAAATGTCCATCAATAGATGAATGGATAAAAAAAAAAAATGTGGTCTATACACATACAATGGGATATTACTTGGCCTTGAAAAGGAAGGATATTGGGGCACCAGGGTGAGCGCCAGGGGGGGCTCCCTGCTCAGCGGGGAGTCTGCTTCTCCTCCCCCTCTGCCCCTCCCCCTGCTCATGCTCTCTCACACACAGTCTTTCTCTCTCAAATAAGTACATAAATTGTTAAAAAAAAAAAAAAAAGGAAGGAAAGGAAGGAAATTCTGGCACCTGCTATAACGTAGGTGAACTTCGAAGACATTATGCTAAGTGAAATGAGCCAGTCACAACAGGACAAGTATTGTGTGATTCCATTGATATAAGGAACCTAGAGTAGTCAAATTCATAGAATGGTTACCAGAGGCTGGGAAGAAGGAGGAAAGAGGAGTTAGTATTTAACGGGACAGAGTTTCTGTTCAGGAAGATGAGAAAGTTCTGGAGATGGACCGTGGTGATGGTTGTACAACAATGTGGACGTACTCTAATGTCACCGACCTGTGCATTTAAAAATGGTTAAAATGGTAAACTTTATGTTCTGTATATTTCGTCACAATAAAAAAGGACTTATTTATTATTATTTATTGAGTGCTTCCTATATGCCCAGCACTATTCTAAGTCCTTTCATTGTTTAAAACTCACATAACCCTCATAAAAGTTTTTTTTTTTAAAGATTTTATTTATTTATTTGAGAGAGAGAGAGAGAGAGAGAAACAGCATGAGAGGGGAGAAGGTCAGAGGGAGAAGCAGACTCGCTGCTGAGCAGGGAGCCCGATGCGGGACTCGATCCCGGGACTCCGGGATCATGACCTGAGCCGAAGGCAGTTGCTTAACCAACTGAGCCACCCAGGCGCCCATAAAAGATTTTTTTAAGCAATTTTATTCATCCATCTGAGAGAGAGAGAGCACAAGCAGGGGGAGGGGTGGGGGAGAGGGAGAAGCAGACTCTCCACTGCGCATGGAGCTCGGAGCCCCACATGGGGCTTGACCCCAGGACCCCGAGATCATAACCTGAGCCAAAGGCAGATGCCTAACTGACTGAGCCACCCAGGCACCCCAACCCTCATAATAATCTTTTTTTTTTTAAAGATTTTATTTATTTATTTGATAGAGACAGACACAGCGAGAGAGGGAACACAAGCAGGGGGAGTGGGAGAGGGAGAAGCGGGCTCCCCGCCGAGCAGGGAGCCCAATGCGGGGCTCGATCCCAGGACCCTGGGATCATGACCTGAGCCGAAGGCAGATGCATAACTGACTGAGCCACCCAGGCGCCCCAACCCTCATAATAATCTTTAAAGTAGATACCACAGGGGCGCCTGGGTGGCTCAGTTGGCTAAACTAGATGCCACATATAGGCAGTCATCTCTTGGACATCAGCCTTAGCAACATATTTATGGATCTGTCTCCTCAGGCAAGGGAAACAAAAGCAAAAAATACACCACTGGGATTACACTGAAATAAAAAAGCTTTGCACAGCAAAGGAAATGATTAACAAAACAAAAAAGCAACCTAGTGAATGGGTGAAGATATTTGCAAATGACATATCTGATAAGGGGTTAGCATTTAAACTATATAAAAAACGTACACAACTCAACACCAAAAAACAAACAACTGATTAAAAAAATGGGCAATGGGGGCATCTGGGTGGCTCAGCTGGTTAAGCACCCGACTCTTGGTTTCAGCGCAGGTCATGATCTCAGGATCATGAGATCGAACCCTGCATCAGCCTCCGCACACAGTGAGGAGTCTGCTTGAGACTCTCTCCCTCTGCCCCTACCCCCTCTCTCTTTCTCCCTAAAATAAATAAATACATCTTTAAAAATAAATAAATAAATAAAAATTTAAAATGGGCAGTGGACTTGAATAGACATTTTTCCAAAGAGGACATCCCATCCAGATGGCCAGCAGATACATGAAAAGATGCTCAATGTCACTCATCATCAGGGAAATGCAAATGAGAACCACAGTGAAGTATCTCCTCACACCTGTCTGAATGAGTAGTACCAAAAAGACAAGGAGTAACAAGTGCTGGCAAGGATGTAGAGAAAAGGGAACCCTCGTGCACTTTGGGTGAGCATATAATTGTTGCAGTATTATTTACAATAGCCAAGATATGGAAGCAACCCAGGCACCAGGGTGGCTAAGTCCTTAAGTGTCTGCCTTTGGCTCAGGTCATGATCCCGGGGGCCTGGGATGGAGCCCTGCATCGGGCTCTCCACTCGGCAGGGAGTCTGCTTCTCCCTCTCCCTCTGTGATCTCTCTCGCTTTCGCTCTCTCTCAAAACAATCAATAAATAAAATCTTTAAAAAAAAAAAAAGATATGGAAGCAGCCCAAGTGTCCATCCATAGATACATGGATAGAGAAGATGTGGTGTACACACTCAGTGGAATATTACTCAGTCATAAAAAAGAATCTTGCCATTTTTGACAACATGGGTGGACCTAGAGGGTATTACGCTGAGTGAAATATGTCAAAGAAAAACAAATAAATACTATTTGATTTCACTTATTGTGGAATCTAGAAACAAAACAAACAAACAACAATGACAACAACAAACCAGAAGCAGACTCATAAACACAGAGAACAGTAAAAAAAAAAAAAGAAAAGAAAAGAAGAGGAAGTAGGTACAATATCATCAACCCCATTTTACAAACGAGAAAACCAATGACCAGAGTCGTGAAGTAATGGGCCGAAGCTCACGCAGCTTCCAAACGGCCGGGCTCAGATTTGGATTCAGGCAGCCTGGTACCAGAGCCCAAACATTTCTTTTTTTTTTTTTTTTTTTTTAAAGATTTATTTATTTATTTTACAGAAAGAAAGCCCAAGCATGTGCGTGTGAGTACGGTGAGGGGAGAAGGAGAGGGGGAAACCTCAAGCAGATTCCCTGCTGAGCAGGGAGCCTGACATGGGACTCCATCCCAGGACCCCGAGACCATGACCTGAGCTGAAATCAAGAGTCGGTCCCTTAATCGACTGAGCCACCCAGGTGCCTCCCAAATATTTTTTTTTTAAAAACCAACGGTATTACCTATCAACAGAGATTATGTCATGTACTAGAACACATTTCACAATAAACAACAACAACAACAACAAAAACAAAAAAGAAATGTTTCCAATTGAAGGCTGACTTGATAGCTCACAAGCAGCTAGGTGCTGGCCTTTCACCATATTTGGACGTGGCTTCCCAGCACAGGGCTGGGCTGCAGAGGGATGAGAAGTCAGCCAGCAAAGGAAGCGGGGGGTACAATTATGGGTGACAAATCGTTTCATTGCCTTTGGAAAAATTACTCTATGACAAGAGACGTCCCATGAATGTGCTGCCAGGAGGGCATCCTGCTGTGCGAGCGAAGGTCAGGATGGCCCTCAGCCAGCCCACAGGGCCAGGAGGGGCAGTGCCCCAATCCCAGGCCAGGTGGACCCGGGGGCCGAGTCTGCAGTTCCTCGGTCTTCAAGAGATGGGGGTTACTGTGCTATTTGTAGGTTGCTCTGTGGTGTTATCAATCGGACATCTCAGACAGAAGCCACGCCAAAGCCATGGAAACTCCAGGCCTACAGCTGGGAAGATGCCATGGTTGGACCAAGGAAGTCAGAAGTTCCTACTGACGAAGCCAAGTTAGAGCCGGCTGGCGGAAGGGAAGGTGCAAAGCACTCATGCAGATTCCATTTATAGACCAGAATTCCCTCGCTCAGAAGCACATCCCAATCTGTCAGGAATCCACAGGCCCGCTGGGGCTCCGGGCAGGCCGGGTCACTGAAGTGGATGAGAAACGGCTCGATGACAGGGATGCAAAATGCCTCCCTCGCTCAGGCCCTTGTCAGGGGAAAGAGCCAAGCAGCCCGAGAGGTGGCAAGAGATCAGAAGGCAGCAGAACCTCACAATCTGAATGACCAGGGGTGGTGGAGGGGAACAGAAAGGCCCAGGCAGGGCCAGGCCCCATAGCACTGAAACGGCAGACCCTTTCCTCAACCTCCTTTGGGTATGAACCCCACCTGCCTTGTCCCCAAGTCCAAATTTAACCGGATCAATCACCGCTGCCTTTGACATGGACATTGACCTTACCTTTCAGGCCCCTTCTTGCGGTGGGAAGGCCTTTGGCGCCAGGGACAGGGGCTGGGTGGGATGGTCCTTGTGGGCAAGTGTGCAGCCCCTCGCCGTGAGTGAGGTGAGGGGCCCAGCTCACAGGAGGAGCACAGGAACGGGTATGCGGAGCCCTGCAGGAGGAAATCCGAGGAGGGCAGTTTAAGTTCTAGTTTAAAAAACAATCCATGGGGCGCCTGGGTGGCTCGGTCCTTAAGCATCTGCCTTCAGCTCAGGGCATGATCCCAGGGTCCTGGGATCGAGCCCCGCATCGGGCTCCCTGCTCGGGGGGAAGCCTGCTTCTCCCTCTGCCACTCCCCCTGCTTGTGTTCCCTCTCTGTGTGTGTGTGTCTCTCTCTCTGTCAAATAAATAAATAAAATCTTAAAAACAAAACAAAACAAAAAACAATCCACATCTTCTTCCTTCACTGTCCCGAAGCAGGGGGCCCTTACCTAAGGCATGTACGCTTCGCCCCCCGCCCATCCTTCTTCCTACCTCGAACTACTCTGTTAACTATCTCTGCCCTGAGGTGTTTGGGATCCTCAAAAAAAGGACACAAACACATTTTAGTGTGTGTGTGTGTGTGTGTGTGTGTGTGTGTGTTGCATAGTTTGCTAGATCTGCCATCACAACATAGCATAGGCTGGGCGGCCTATACAACAGCGATATATCTTCTCACAGTTCTGGAAGCTGGAAGCCCAAGACTGTGGAGCCAGCCGTGCGGGGTTCTCCCTCCTGGACCTGCAGACGGCTGCGTCTCATTGTGTCCTCCTGGGATCTTCCCTCGGTGCGTGTCCGTGGGAGTCTGTTTGCGTCGCTACAACGAAAGATCAGAAACCAGGCAGCTTGTAAATAGCAGACCTGCAGTGCTCACAGTGCTGGAGGCCGGAAGTCCCAGATCAAGACACCAGCAGATTTGGTGCCTGGTGAGGGCCCACCTCCTGGTTCTCCATGTCCTCACACGGTGGAAGCAGTGAGGGAGCTCTCTGGGGTCTCTCTCATAAGGGCACCAACCCTGTTCATGACGGTTCCGTGACCTAATCACTTCCCAAAGGCCCGACCTCCTAACAGCAACACCTTAGGGGTTAGGATTTAACCTATTCTGGGGGGCCACAGACATTCAATCCATAGCAGTGTCTGTGTCCTCATCTCTTATGAGGATACCAGTCTAACCCATATGACCTGATTTTACCTAGATCACCTCTTTAGTTTTTTTAAAGATTTATTTATTGATTTTACTTTATTTTATTAAAGATTTTATTTATTCATTTGAGAAAGAAAGAGAGAGAGAGAACAAATTGGGGGCGGGGCAGAGAGAGAAGCAGACTCCTGGAGGAACTGGGAGCCTGAGTCGGGACTCAATCCTAGGACCCTGAGATCATGACCTGAGCTAAAGGCAGATGTTTAACCAACTGAGCCACCCAGGCGCCCTATTTGTTCATTTGAGACAGAGGGTGAGAGCAGGCACACACACATGCACACACACGCACACAAAGGAGCATGGGGCAGGGGGCGGGGGAAGCCGGGGCAGAGGAAGAGGGAGAGAGAGAATTCTCAAGCAGACTCCCCACTGAGCACGGAGCCCCACGCGGGGCTCAATCCCAGGACCCTGAGATCATGACCTGAGCCAAAATCAAGAGTATGACGCTTAACCAACTGAGCCACCCAGGCGCCCCTAAATCACTTCTTTAAAAGTCTATCTCCAATGACAATCGCATCCTGAGGGACTGGGGGTTAGGGCATCACCATATGAATCTGGGGGTAAGGGACACAATCCAGCCCATAACAGTAGGTAAGGACGCAGGAGGCTCTGCTGCACACGGCATTAGTACAAGTCCGACCAATAACGCTTTGTTTCACTTATTGGAAATAGCTCAGTTTTTAGCAAGGGAGGTAGAGAAACTGCATTGTTTTGTTACCTTCATTTCTACTCTCACTGCTTGGAAATGAAAACAACACCTACGGTAGTTCAAATCTCAGGATTTGTTAGCTATGGTTTTCTCCTAGATTTTTTTTTTTAATACTTTGGCTCTATGATCTGTCTCCAAAGCAAGGCAGATATCAAAAAACAACCTCGCAGGTTACCATCACCTACAGTAAGGAGCAAGATGGTAAGCAAGGGCCGCCATGGGCATGGCTGACCGCCATCATCCAGAATCCCACCACGAAGGAACGACTCATGGTAACAAGGGCTGTTACCCTTCTTGCTGTTGTTCCATCCACCAGTATTTCACAATGTTGAGAGCATCGTTTATATTGAAATCAGAGTCTTGCCTTTTTCTGTTACATTTTATCATACACTTTTCCAAACATCATTAAAAAGGATCCATTGATGGGGCACCGGGGTGGCTTAGGGGCTGAGGCGTCTGACTCTTGATCTCAGCTAAGGTCTTAATCTCATGGTTGTGAGTTCAAGCCCCACACTGGGCTCCGTGCTGGGTGTGGAGCCTACTTAAAAAAATTTTTAGGGACGCCTGGGTGGCTCAGTCAGTTAAGCGTCTGCCTTTGGCTCAGGTCAATCCCGGAGTCCTGGGTTCAAGCCCCACGTCGGGCTCCCCACTCAGCAGGGAGTCTGCTTCTCCCTCTCCTTTTGCCCCTCCTTCTGCTCGTGCTCGCGCATGCTCTCTCTCACGTAAATAAATAAAAATTTAAAAAATTTAATAATAATAATAAAGGATCTGTTGACATGTTGAATGATTGCATAATATTGCACGGTGTTTCAGGCGACAGGTGACTCAACCATTTCCAGTCATTGGACATTTAGGTTGTTTCTAGTTTTTAACAATTACAAATAATGCTGACAAACATCTTCGGCATACACCCTTGCCTGCATTTCTGATAATTTCTCTCGGCTACATTCCTACAACATGGACACGTTTGCCTTCAAGGCTTTTGGAGCACAGGAGAACCGCTGTCTTTCCAAGCCTGTGACTTCATGGGTCAGGGAAGAACTCGTTGGGCCTTCCCCTGATGCTAATCCAATATTTGGTCCCACGTTCCGACCGGGGGTACCTTCACCCTCTGCCCTCCCTTCCACCCACGCGCAATTAGACTCCCCGTAATTACAGGGTGCTGAGATAGATACAGGGCATCAAAAGGCAAAACAGCTGCTAGTAGAGAAAAGGTGAGGGGGGGGGCACAGAAATGCTGGCATTGACCAAGCGCTTTTCCTCCAAAGGGCTCAAAGGTTTCCAGAGATGTGGTCTCATTAATCTTCACGGGTCTGTGATTTTTCTTTCTGATAGAGACCCAAACAGAAACGGTATTTGTTGGTGTGTATTTGTGCATTCGCTATGCTCCTGCTTTCTGGATGTTCCCTAAAATGGCTTTTATATTTGGGACTTCTGATTTGTGCAGAGGACAAAAAGTCCCAAACCGAGTCTATTTATCTCTTACCCTTCAAACTCACGGGAGGACAGGAGGAAGGACAATTAGTCACATTTTAAGAATGAACAGAGACGCTAAGTAACCCAGCACAGGGTGTCCCCACCAAAGTGGTGGTTCAGGGCAGAAGCCCTAAGTGAAAGCTGCACACCAGGCAGCTTTCTTTCCTGCAAAGTTGCTTGGTTTCACCTTTTTGCAAAAATACATTCACAATTTCTGACCTTGTAGACATTTTTTTGAAAGGAATTGTGATAGAGTAATGGTTCCCCCAAAGATGCTCACATCCTTTCGTCAAAACCTATCAGGAAATGACCTCACAAAAGGGACAGACAGACCTTGCTGATATGATTACATTAGGGTTTTGTTTTCTTTTTACCTGATTACCCTTTAGTAATTTTAAATTTTGGATTGCGTGTATGGATACATTTTTTAAATGTGTTTAAAAAAACAACAACACATAGATGTGCAAAACAGCTCGGCCCTACAGATCACAAATCTTTGGAGGCAGGGAGCAGGCTTTTGAAATTACGAAACTACCAAGATGATTCTGATGATCAGTCAGGCTTGGGATGTAAACCATTCATATGGTACTCAATGCCTCCTATTAAAGTGTACATGTGTGAATATATCTTTACTCCCTAACTAGAAAAGCATCTTATCTATTACATTTTGTTATTCCTACAGTTCTCAGCTCAGAAAAGGTACCCAATATTTTTGATGAGAATAATGCAGAAGCATAATTCCACTTACCTGCTATATTTCAACTAATGTGAAAGTGTTTTTAAAAATACATTTAGCAGGGCGCCTGGGTGGCTCAGTTGGTTAAGCGACTGCCTTCGGCTCAGGTCATGATCCTGGAGTCCCAGGATCGAGTCCCGCATCGGGCTTCCTGCTCAGCAGGGAGTCTGCTTCTCCCTCTGACCCTCTTCCCTCTCGTGCTTTCTATCTCTCATTCTCTCTCTCTCTCAAATAAATAAATAAAATCTTTAAAAAAAAATACATTTAGCAGAATTATGAGGCAATTAAAAATACCATTTTCAATATATGAAAGGCTAAATGTCAAAAAATGCCAACAATAATTTTTCTTTTTTAAAAGCTATAGGTATGGCTCGTCTGCAAAGGCGAAGTGGTTAAGTCCAAACCTAAGACTATAGGACTTATGGATGAGTCAGACTTCATAGTCTACAGGAATGAGTAAAAGTAGCATCTAGTGTAAAATAAAGTGTGTGGATAACAGATTCCAAAGAAGCCCCATTTTATTACAAGGAGCATACACGTTCCTTTCCTTATAAGGAAAAGTACTGTTCCCCTTCTCCAGGGTGACAGATGTGCCTCTTCCACAGCTCCCAGCTTTCTCTTCTACCGATACTTCCCATGTCGGTTAAAGTGTTTACAGAGGTAGTTGATGCGTTTAAGGTTGCGCAGGTCATCAAGGAACATCCTATTTCCAACCATTTTCTTCTTTCGGATACAACGTTGTAACTCATTCCCCTTCCAGCCTCGAAGCCATTTGGGGCCCTTGATCAGTTCTTTGGGGTGCATTCTGAAGTCTCCCAGGATCCCGATATTATCATACACCCCGAACATGGCCCTCTTCTCGTTCCAACAATCAACCACTTTGGGAGGAGGGAGGGTGAGCCTTACGTGGAACATTCTAGGAATACCCAAAGAGAAGCTTCTGCAGGCCAAGGGCACCCGGCCCCATAGGACCCTTCCTGCCCCCAAAAAGAGGCTCCCTGCCATTGCTCTCGTCTCTGCCCCACAACAGCACCCGCACAAGCACAAGAATAGCCTCGCACGTGGCCTTCAAGGAGCTGACAGGGACCTTCCACTCTAGCGTCAGAGGGCACTAGGTGGAGGCCTACATTAGGGATCTTGAGATGGATTATTAGGTATAATCACAAGGATCCCTAGAAGAAGGAGGCAAAGGATACCACCAAGAGAGTGAAAAGACAACCCGAGAATGAGAGGAAATATCTGCAAATCAAATGTCTGATAAGGGATTAATATCCAGAATATGTAAAGAACTCTTACAACTCAACAACAAAAAGACAAACCACTCAGTGAGTGCATGGGCAAAGGACCTGAACAGACAGTTCTCCAAAGGAGATAGACAGATGTCCAACAAGCACATGAAAGGATGCATCTGATCCCTCGTCATTAGGGAAATACACGACCACAAGGAGATACCATTTCACGCCCACTAGGATAACTGGAATCAAAAAGACAGACAACCAAGCGTTAGCAAGGGTGTGGAGCAATTGGAACCCCCGTACACAGCTGGTAAAGTGATGTAGCTACTTAGGGAAAACAGCTTGGCAGCTCCTCAAAAACCTAAACATAGGGGTGCCTGACTGGTTCAGCCTATAGGGCATGCGGCTGTTGATCTCAGCATCCTGAGTTCAAGCCCCATGTTGGATGTGGAGC